AGGTATAATAATTCTAACGTCAAACTCTAGGAAAACACGGAATACATACTCGTACTGTCATGAGGAAATGCAGTTGTAATAGTCTTTTATAAAAACGTAACACTCAACTTATCAATAATTCCAAAAGTTATTTTTCAGTGAACCAGTTTGATAATTGTGTATCACAAAATAGTTCATGGACAGTTTTCCCAAAGACTGAAAAATAGCAAAACAAAAATGAAAAATTTCACTCAAAATCGGTGAATCAATCAGCAATTTTATGTTTGTTGTCGTGGATACTTTCACAAGGGTGATTTTACTCCAAGTATGTGTTACTCAAACTATGTGTCGCAGAAAACAAACTGATATGCGTTGCTGTACCATTTGTCATATTATATTCGTTCAAACAACCAGGATATATTTGTTGAAAACACCGGAGTTAATCTCACATTGAGAGGAGAACATTGTAAGAAAAAAGTTTGTGAGCAAAAAATTGACATTTCTTATCGCCAAATCCTTTTTCCATGCTTGGCACAATATTATATTGAAATATAATACCATTTATAGGAACGACACATGATATAATATAGGAAAGAGTAGGGATGGAGATTTAGAACCAGGTGTATTCATCCAAAAATTAATTGGACTGGTATATTGTAGCAACTTTTTTTTAAACTTTCTTCTTGAAAAGACTGCCTCTGCTAGCCAAACCAGCTCTGAATCTTCTTTCCAACTGCCTATTTATTGTGATTCGATAACGCTAACCTGTTTGAATGCGGAATACCTTGCATTCCTTTTTTTTTCGGAATTCTGTCGCTGTAAACGGATCCACTTGTTATGCAAATATTCGGCGATAATCTCAATAATGCAAATTCGTCGAAAATACTTTCGGCCACCATAAAGCTGAAAGGAATTCGAACAAAAAAAATCTTCCTCTACCTTAGGCGTCTGCCAGTGCCTGTTCACCTGATTTTTATAGCGGTTTGATTTAGTGTGTGTCGTAAAACACCAGGAAAGAAAACAGCTTGAGAAAATCTCGATGCATTTCAAAATTACGGCCTATAAATAAAACAGGCATTTAATATTGTCAAGATGCATCAGTTGTTGAGTATAACACTATCCCACGAAACACACCCCGATCTCGATTTGTTCAGGTCTCAAATTCATTAATTGAAAAAAAAAACATCTGATTTATTATTTCGTGAAAAGGTAAAATAAAGACTCGATCTAAACACGTTAACGTTTCCCATCCTTTCTTCTTTTTGTAAGCGTTTTTAAATCTTTCTATTGATTGTGACCATTAAGAAGGTTTAAACAAAAAAAAATATATCAAAATATTAACTGATCAAAACTTTTCATGATAATAAATGAAAATAACATTTTTGAAAGTCTCATCAAAAGCGGATATGACAATCTTGAGAGCATTACTTCTAAATTCGAAATTTTTCAATAATAAAATCTGTTCTGTTGATATTTCTTTTGTTGAAATTTGTTTTTTCCGTTAACCAGTTGTCGCCCCTCCTCGGACAACTCTCAAAAGTTGAAACTTGTGCGAGTTGTGGACTAACGAGGTCTTACCTTTTAACGTGTGATTCCTAGCGTATAATATATTATATTATTAGGTTGTTTCAAAACTTTTGTCCTTTATAATGTCATGTGTTTTTCAGCACCATATCTCAATGAATATTTCTACTGTATCGTGATGAGACAGTTCCGTAGTACAACTTTCAAAAATATTTCAAAATCATCATATCAAGTAGAGAAGACTGACAAAACGATCTAGCGGTAAAAGCGGAAGAAACTTGGTATACAGATGCTCAAAGACCCAAGAAGAAGTGGGAGCCGGTATACAAGGAGGCAAAGCAAAGACGAGAATTATACTCAGCCTCGGACATAATGGCACTGTGTTTCAGACAGAAGTAGCATCCATCGAACACTGTATAGGGTGTTCTGCAAGGATCTATACTTGAGCCTTTGCTTTTCAGCTTATATACCTCAATTGTACTGACTAAGATCAATCTCTGTAAGTATCATACTAACTCTGATGATACCCAACTTGTATCGTTTAAATTAGAATGTTGCTGACATTAATACTGAACTTCAAAACATTTATGATTCTTCTGTGAAACACGAACTGCAACTCAATCCTAATAAAATGCAGGTTCTTATATTTGGTTCCAAATTATTATGCCAAAGGTATTTACCTCAAGTACATATTTTTCTGAATGGTATAACTCTAAATATAGTACAGGAGGCAACAAATTTTGGCTTGATGTTGGGTAATAATTTCAGGTTCAAAAAGCAAGTTTCATTATATATCCAGAGAGCTTAAACGAACTTAAGATTAATTTACCCTCACTGAGCATACCTAAATACTCAGACAAAAACCAATTTATGCCAGATTCTCATCCTTTCACAGTTCACCTACTGTTCACCCGTATATTTTCCCTGTTTGGATAGTCTAGATTTATGCAGGATACAAAAAGTCCAAAATTCTTGTTTACGCTACATCTATGGCATCCGTAAATTCCAGCACATTTCTCATAAGCTTTCTCAGACGCTTTCTTTTTGCAATCGCTAACCTTATTCACAATATAATCATCAACAAATCACCGGAGAATCCTTATGAAAAAGTTCGATTTCGTGAAAATGAACATGAAGTGAATATCCAACACAAAAATACAATAACTGCCCCCCACCACAGCACAGCACTGTTTGAGAGACCGTTCATTTTTTCTATCTACAATCATTACAATAGTCTTCCCACATACCTAAAAAAATTGAAACTGCCACTTTTCAAGCTACAGGCGCGTAACTGGCTAAATTAAAAACAGCTATCGTGCAACTAAAGTCTCGCATAAAATGCAAAAATTCAAGTCATTCTGTACGTATTATGAATTACCCCTCTTTTATTCCTTTTATTTATTTATTTATTTTTTCTCTCTCTTACTACTATAGGCTCTCTTACTACTAGGCACTATAATTTTTTGTACATTATATGTTTGATGAATACTTTGAAGTTTTGTACATTGTAAAGGAGTTGAATGGAAGAACAGGATTCGGCGTGTTGCACACGCTTGTCTCCTGAATTCCGCACCAGCTTTCTCAGCCGAGGTATATATAGAATTTTTTTCACTACTAACATTGATATATTAATAATTTTAATTTTGGCATTAGTAATTTTCTAACAATTTGTTGAATATATCGGAATATCTAGTAGAGTGGAGCGTGTTTCTAATCAGACGGGCTTTATTTATGAAAAAATTTGGCATTTGTCAAATTTTCTTATGAATCTAGGAAATATCTCTTTGCATTTTTGATATATCTCAATGTTCCACTTCTCTCATCGCTTCTGTATGTTCAGAACTTAGAATTTCTCAATTCTGCATTATAGTGAGAAAAAAATTTCTTTGGGTATATGATAACCCAAGGCAGCTATAAATTGTTGCATGTCAAATTGAAACGGTACAGTTTTCATGTTGAATACACGATGTCGATGATAAGCGCGCAACATCTACTTAGGCCATGAAAACGTTTGCCGGCGTTTCCATGACAACTTAACACTGTACAATGATTATTATTGCTGTCAGTTTGCCAAATGCGGTTTTAATTTAAATTCAGACGTCATTTTGAAGAAGTTAAAACACCAGAGTTAATCTCACATTGAGAGGAGAACACTGTGAGAAAAAAGTTTGTGAGCAAAAAATTGACATTTCTTATCGCCAAATCCTTTTTTTATATAAATATCACATGATTGGCACACAAAACTGCTTCGCCTCCTCATGTAATTTCACAACAGGCATTTTGTGAGATTTTTTGTAGGTAATCATTTGTAGGTATGCAAATACAAAATATCACTAACATTTTCTTTAGATTCCTTGAGTTTTGCATCGCCACCTTGCGGCAATGGTCTCCTCGACGAAAATTATTGTCATCATATCATGCCTAATCTTTCAACTTTTTCTCATATCAAGTAGAGTGAAGCGTGTTTCTAATTAGACTGGCTTCATTTATGTAAAAATTTGGCATGTGTCAAATTTTGATATGAATCTAGGAAATATCTCATTGCATTTTTGATATATTTCAATGTTCCACTTCTTTCATCGCTCCCACCACAAATGGTGCGTGGTATGGCGGAAAAATTGGGCGTCAGCTCCCATGTGGTTTTTGATGGTTTAAAACGTATCTGAAAAGTCACAAAGCTCGAAAAGTGGGTGCCCCACGGTTTAAACGATCTGAAAATATTGTCGTTTCGAGGTCAGTGCTTCTTTTTTGGATTGGATTGGCACGTGTGATGAAAAGTGGATCCTCTACTACAACAGGAGACGCTCAGGGCAGTGGTTGTATACTGATGAACCACCCAGGCACTTCCCAAAGGCGAAAATCCACCAAAAAAGACCGTGGTTACTGTATGGTGGTCACCGGCTGGTGTGATTCACTATAACTTTCTGCAACCGGGCTAAACCATTACAGCAGAGTCTTATTGTAAGAATCGACGAAATGTACCAAAAATTGCTTCAGCAGCAGCCAGCACTGGTCAACAGAAGACGTCCAATCCTGATCCACGACAACGCCCGTCCGCACGATTCACAAATCACCGTCAGAAAATTAAACGAATTGAGCGTCGAAGTTCAGCCTCATCCACCATAATCTCCAGACCTCTTGCCAACCGATTACCATCTTTTCAAGCACTTAGATAAATTTCTCACCAGTAGAACCTTCGCCAATCAGGATCAGGCAAAAACGGCCTTCGTCGACTTCGTCGAATCCCGAGCACACATATTTAACGCCGACTGAATTAATTGGCTTGTGTTACGTTGGCAAAAGTGGAAGGATTGAAATGGCGATTATTTCGATTTAAATAAGTATTCACTGAAATATTGGACTCATAAAAGATATAAGTAGACTCATAAAAACTGAAAAATTTGGAAACAACCCAACATATTATATAATACGACATTTTTGTTATTGATTTGAAATCAGTTGACATTAAAAAAAATTATTATTGTTTCCATACTCACCAATAATTAAAACGATCCCAAAGACGAATCCGTATTCAAGAAACTGTCCGATGAAAGCTGCATAAAGAGAATATTTTCATATCTTGAATGGTTATGCGGTCCCTGAAAAAAATATGCTATGTTAAAATATGTTTTTCAACATTCGATAAGTATTATTGAAAAGCCTCGTATCTATTGTTAGTATTTATTCATTTATTTACTATTATCAACGGAAAAAACTACACCTAGATCAAAATGGTAATGAACTAAACGGTAAAAACATAATTAACTACAGATCTTTTGAATGCCTGAATATAGTATGTAAAAAAATAGTCCGACTCATAAGCCTCTTATAAAATTCGTGGCATCGGACTATTGAATCCATAATTTATTAAATGTGTTTCAAAACAAACAATAAAACACCGCAAGACATACAATCCAGCACAGTGAACAAATTGAAATGTGAAAGCTGTCCCAAATGCTATGTTGGTCAAACCGGACGATATCTTGAATCTCGAGTTACATAACACATGATAAGACTCCAAAAAACTGAGTATCAAAAACCTGCAGCCCTTGTTGCGTATGAAAGAGGACATAGACACATTTGACTTTGAACGTCCGACTATTCTAGATGTTCAACCATATTTATCCAAGAGACAATTGATAAAGAAATGATACACATCCTCAAACACGACAGTGTTAACACTAGAAGATATGTCGATGGCCTTAATACGGTATGTTTCAATTCAATCAGTAAACTACCTAAATAACTCTCCTTTTTCATTCTCATTTTTTCAGTCATTGAAAAAGACAGACATTACTATCCTATCAGTTTCATAGGTAAAGCCATTCGTTTGTTTTATCATTTTAGTGTTTTTTATTTTTATTATGTATCTAATATGTCTGATGTTTTTTGAAATAAGTATATTTTTGACACGAAGAAACTTTTTTCCGTGAGTAATTCATTGAAGAATTCATTGAAATGAAAACACAAAGTTTTGTGGGAGGTATGTTAATGAAAACTCATTATCACAGAGCTCTGAAGAAGAATTTAATTGAATTCGAACCGTTGCCAAGAAAACAACTGTTTTTTTAAAGAAAAATTGATCCTGTTACCCAACTAACCGTTCTTGAGAAAAATTATTGGGTATCTGACAATATAAGTTGAAATCACTTGCAAAAAGTAATCTTTTTAAGATTATGATTTAAGGTTATTAATGAAAATATTGAACTGTTAATGGCCCACAATGACTGCCTTGGGGAATACCAGATAGAACATTAATGGTTTTAATGGTACCCAGCGAAATATACCCAATGAAAAGTCCTTTATCCAAGATATATATGTATCTGTAGAGTTGGGAGAGTAAGTGTAAGCCCAGATCACTTAGGCCACTTGTGACCCATTGTACATCCTCCCAAGGAGTTGTCCTCCTAGGTCATCGTCCATCCTGTCCTTTCCTTTATATCGGCAGGTGTAGGCCAAGAATCGCCGAACACACATCTCTTATTGACGATAACTCCGGACATTCGCATAGGACATGCCTGACGCTAGTTGCACACACACCGATTTTGGACGGCCAGTATAAAATCGGCCGATATTTTATTGGTAGCGGGTGCTTGCACACTTACCGGTGATCGGCGTCGATCACCGGTAAGCATGTGTGCAAGGTCCCGTTGCCATATGTGGCTCACTATTGGAATTTGGACGACCGGTATAAAATCGGCCGTCCACAATCGGTGTGTGTGCAATTAGCCTGACAGTTTCATCTTCCTGTTCACACATCCTGCATGGAGGTGTGTCCACTAGTCCCATATTGCGGCGGTGTTTCCTTAGTTGACAGTGGCCAGTCAGAAATCCTACTGTTACGCAGTTGCACACACACCGATTTTGGACGGCCAGTATAAAATCGGCCGATATTTTATTGGTAGCGGGTGCTTGATTATCGGTCAAACAATCAGTTGCTTTGTTGTCGTAATTAGCACGCACTATCAAAACGAAGTTAATGCGTAGTAACTACAATTTCACCGAGCATTCAAGACTGGAATGGTCGGTAAAAAACCGGTGTGTATGCAGGAGTGTATTTAGTCATGTACGCCACCACTTCCCGGTACTGCCGGCGATACAGTGGTAGTGGACGGCTGCTCACCGGTATTTTACCGGCGACGATCACCGGTCGGCGTGTGTGCAAGGTCCCGTTCCCACATGTGGTTCACTATTGGAATTTGGACGACCAGTACAAAGTTGGCCGTCCAAAATCGGTGTGTGTGCAACTAGCGTTAAGCGTAGATTTTTGCTGGTCATCGCCAGATATTCCTTCGGCACCAGCTTCCTAGGGTCGCCCAGGGTGTTCCTGACAAGATTGCATCTTTTGATTTCATCCCATCTCTTTAGGGATTGAACATGGATGTGACGTTTGGCTGTTTCCGCAATTGTCGAAGTCATCAGGCCGTAGGTGCCACTGGGTCATAAAATTCTTAGTTCAGTCGCTTCCTTGGCTGAAGAGTCGGCAATGTGATTACCTTTACTCCTGTCGTGCCCTTTGATCCACCTCAGGATAATGTTATTATCTACCGAGGCTTTGGCTAAATCTTAGTGGCACTCTAGTACTAGCCCTGAGGTAACAGATTGTCATATTTTTGCCAGAAATTCCTTTCCTTGTTATTTATTTTATGGCGACTGAGATATCAGCCAGTTCTGTTTGAACCACTCTTAATCCTAAGGCTTAGTGATCTGGAGTACACTCTGCATCCTGAGCCTTCTTTGGTTTTTGAGCCGTATATATGCGAATTGCATTTGTAGCATCTGACTCTATGTTCTGTTTTATTTGTATTTTGTAGAGTTTATTAAACACAAACCTGGGTTTAATTGCATCACTGGCTACCTGCAGTAGAGGTTGCGCAGTGAGCGCTTCTCACCATAGGCTCAGCCTCAATTAACCCATTCCTACTTCGAGGTTTACACCAGCCGTGCTCAATCGTACCATGGCCATTAACGCAACCTCCTTAACGTACAGGTGCAGAGGGGTCAGACCAGTAATTGATTCCATTGCCGCGGTTGGTGTTGTTCTCATTTATCCAAGATAAAATATTGCTCCCCAATCCAAAAGCTTCTGGTTCATTAAGTAAGGTTTTAAGGTTTTTTTGGTAAATCGGTTTAAATTGAATGAACTTGACACCGAGTCTCAAAGCATCGAATATGTCCGTCTGATAGATCAGCAGAAAGTTGAAGAAAAGATAGAAATTCAGACATTCGCACACCCGGAATGTGTGCTCATATAGTCAGAAATCTATATGATGGATGAAACATGGCTCAATCGTTTCACACCAGAATCAAAACGATCGTCATGTAAGTGAACTGCTCGTGGTGAACCGACTCCGAAGCATGCAAAGACACAACAGTCGGCTGGCAAGGTTATGGTATCAGTGTTTTGGGATGTGCATAGTTTAATATTCATCTAATATCTTGAAAAGGAAAAAACCATCAACATCGACTATAACATAGCGTTATTGGAGCGTTTGAGGGACGAAATCGCGAAAAAAAAGTGCTGTTTCATCAAAACAATGGATCGTATCAGGAATCAATTAAAACGATGGCAAAATTGCATGAATTGGGCTTCGCAACCAACGTATTCTCCGGATCTGGCCCCCAGCGACTTTTTTGTGTTCTCAGACCTCAAGATTGCTTATTGTAAACACAAATCGTACTATAAAAATGAATATTGATAATTTTTTTTATTCACATAACAAAAATAATTACAGAGTATTGTGAATAAATAAGAATTTACCACGGAAGCAGTAGGTACTGCTTGTGTGTGGTCGTATACACCCTAAGTATATACAAACAAATTATTCGAGAACACTATACTGAAATTACTAACAATAAAATCAAGTATACAATTATTGTAAGAGCAAAATAATTATAATTATTAATGCAGACTACCATACAATATATTTTCACAAATACAAATACACACACTCTCATACAGAGTGGTCCAACGAAAAGTATGCACCTTGCTTTTCTCCTTTTTTTGTAACTTAACGCAAAACTGCTCGGACAGGTCAATTTTGCTTTTGAGGGGGACACATTTTAGATGTATTTTTCTACCTGTGCCGTCAACCCCCTAGCGAGGGTAAGTAACAACCCTAAAATTTTAAATGGAAAGTGGGGTCGAGTGATATATCATTTGAAAGGGCACAAAATTATCTTTCCAATGATACCTAATTTGTTGTATTTACTTGAATAGTTATAAAAAAAAGCAAGAACATTTACTCGATATTTTTGGTGTTAATGAAAATGCGGAAAAACGGTATTTTTATCACTACTACATTCCTAAATTTCTCTCGTGCGTTTTTTGGTTCAAATAACAACAGCAGATAAGTGTACAAAAAGAATTTAGGCAAACGTTCATTGATTCAGTTCGATTGCAGGTGTCACTTTCATAGAACAGGACAGTGTCGTTCGCAAAACTTATTCACATACAGGTCCTGTGATGAATAGATTGTTCAGGTAAACAGTGAAGAGTAAGGGCCCTAAAACGATTCCTTGTGGTACGCCACATGTAATCATTTGTTCCTTGCTGATGTGGTTTTGAATTCGCACTTGTTGTTTTCTTCTAGTTTAATATGATTTCATAAGATTGTATACTGTACCTCTCATAGCCACATCCTCTAAGGTTTGCAATAGAATGGAGTGATCAACAGTATCGAAGGCTTTTCCAAATCTACGAATACTCCGATTGAAGGTTTTTCGAGCCTATAGCCTTGTATATTCAAACTGTTAGTTTTTTTAAAGCATCCTGAGGTAAATTTCCTTCTAAATTTCCCAATATTGAATAATAAAATAAAATTTTATCAAAAAAAATCCTGTTAGCCTTCGAACTGTTACCTATCTTTCCTTGATTGTTTAGTGCAAAATATCATTCAAATAAGACCTCTCTCTAATCAAACGAGAAAGTAGACTGTTTTGTCTTCCTTTTTAACGTGCAGAAGAAAAAAATGCTACATGAAAGTATGTGTTTTCTCGTGTATTTTATTAATAACACACGTGTATTCTTTCATTGTCCCGAGTGTAGATGGCTCGGGGAGAAATGGTCATATCCTATTAAGACGCTAAGGACACAAAA